AAACAAAAAAAAAAGAACAAAGGAGAGAAGAGCTCTCCCCAAAAAACATTCTATTTTATATATATATATATATATATATATATATATATATACTATACACAGACATACATACATACATAGATGTATGTACATACATAATCTTGCCATAAAAAAAAAAAAACAAAGGCAGTCTAATCAACTCCTGAGAAGCATTTTCTTGAAATTGACTAGGGACCCCCAGTTATCACAGGCAGATTCGATAACAACATAAATATGTCAAGATTTCCAAGAATGAACTTACAGTGAAAAGCACAGAACCAACAATGGTAGCAAGAGCAACGACGTATTCTGGAAAGGTAGTACGCATTGTCCATGTTTTCTCTGACGAATCACTGGCAGAATATGCAGAGCACTGTAGGGACAATAGAAGCCAGAGACAAAGAAAGCACCAAAATGAGCAAGAGGATGGATACTAGTAGTATAAGAAAATTCCAACGAACAAGGTCAAACCTGATGTGAGCCACTTATACATTCTTGACTGCTAGAAAAGCTCCATGAACTAGGAAAGGAAGTTGTGGAAGAAGAGAGATGCCTAACAGTAAAGTCCACCTTCCCAACTAGCCCTGATATACAATCAAAGAGTAAACCAATGATACACAATCCATAGTGTTCTAACAAAACATGTTCCACAAAGAATAAAAAAATAACCAAACACTCATAAAGCCATAAACAGAAAAATCTTTCAGTGCAATCAAAGTGGTTCCTGTGAAAATCACCAGTGAAGACAACTAACCGTATAAGATGCCAAGCACGAGCGCGCAGACAATGGCCGTCACCACCACCCACAACAACGCGCTTCTAATCCGTTTTCCAACACTCCTGAACACAAAAACGCACACTCAATTTTTACAAATCAACAATGGCAGGCTGAATAAACACAAACCTCATATGTGCATAGATTCAATCAAAAACCCTAGAAGGACCTACTTGTCCTGGTCTCCTTCGTAGTAGAACATAGCGAAGGGGATGATGAAGAACACAAGCACGGCGTCAAGGATATAGATGGCGAGCCACATATCCTTCATTGGCAGAGTGAGATTACACGCTCCATTGTATATCGCGTGGCGACAGGCCTGACGGTTCGCCACGTCGGCCGGCAACATCAGTATGGAAATCGCGGCGACGGAGAGCCCCAAAACGACGACGAATTTGGGGAAGTAGGCCTGGTTCTTGTCGTCGGGGTGCTGGTAATTGACGAGCAGGTAGACATTGAAGACGAAGACGATGACGCAGAGGATAATGGCGACGATGACGAGCGCGAGGTTGAAATCGCCCATCGCGTCCTCAGCTCTCGATTCGAATCAAATCGAATCGGAGAGATCAAAAGGGGTCTCAGAAATTAGGGTTTGCGATTTGAACGCGCGTTCGCGTGTGGCAGTAGATCTGTGCTGTTTTCGAACAAATGCAGGCGACTTAAGCCGTTGAGGGAGAGAAAGGGGAAAGGGGAGGCTTGGTTCCGGTGAGGTGGTTTGTTGGGAAGGGAGAGTAGGTCCGTTTTGATGTTTGAGTTTGAAATTACATTTCTGTCCTTTTAGAGTTCGTTATTTACGCTTCGAATAAGGGCGGCAAGGGAGGAGGGTTTGGGGGTTTAAATGTAAAATGAAGAGCTTGTCTGTGACAAACATCAAACAGGCTGTCAAACTTGAGGCGAGGCCAGTTCGAGACATGTAAGAATCGCTCGTAAGCTCCGCGGCGAAGAAAGCGCGTGACTTCCCTCAATGCAAGAATGTTAAACTAAAAAAGTGGGACCGTCTTTAATTTATTTTTAATCTCTTCTCTTTTTTGTTTTAAATGAAAAAGATAAATTACAAAAACAATCCTTAGGATCTCAATATTTCAAATATTAAAATTAATAATACTAGTCTTAATATCTTATCACATTTTTTATACCACATGATGTGGTAATTTATATGTACATACCATATCATGTAAAATACTAGTTTCTGTTTTTCTAATTTTATTTAGGGACATTTTGGAAAAAACAAAAGGAGAGAAAAAAATTTTAAAAGAAGCAAAAATGGACAAAAATACCCTTATTTATTTTTAGATTTCCTAAGGAATCCAATACATTTGTATGTCTTTGATTTGAAAGTTGAGTGGTTTTTTTTGTCTTTTTTGAAAAAGCTTTGGCTTTTTCCAAAAGTGAAATTTTTTTTATGTCTAAAACCTTTTCATTCATTTAATTGATATGACATATGATATGAACATGTCATATCATGTTATATAGAAATGTTGAATAATAATGTGGTAAGTGTAGCATTACTCTATTAAAATTAATTTTAATAGCCACATTATAAGAAAATTTTGATAATCAAACACAAGATTGAGCGTAATTATCTTACTAACCCTTTGGCACATGCTCACGCATATGTTAATTGATTTTTTAATTTTATTTTAGAAGTTTAAAAAAATAATGGATAGTTGTGTCCCATAAAAATAAGACTCATTATCTAATTTTGTTTTATGACCAAATATATATATATATATATATATATACACACAGCTTCCATTGAGGGATCCCTCACATAAGCTTATTTGAGGGACACC